CCCCCCCCCCTCCCCTCGGGATACGTTTTACAGGTTTGATTCTCAAAAAATTTTAATTTGGCCATAAATGTGGGGGTGGGTTACTAATTTTCCATATGTCAACCCTCCCCCCCTCAAATTGGGATTTTTCTGCGCAAGCTACTGGATGCAGCATCTATACGGTGTTTAAAAAAAACCCTGCCAATCAGTGGCGTAGGGAAGGGGGGGGGGGGGTTTAGGGGGTCAACACCCTCCCCCCTCCCCCCTTTGGGCTTCCTGGTCAGTGACAGTCAGGCATATTTCAGCCTTCCTTGGGAATTCCAGTTTTAGCTATCCCCCTTCGAGGAAAGTCTAATGCCCATCCACAGACCCAAGATGCCAGACCATGATTTCTTCAATAAGGTAAATTCCGGGTGGTGGAGCTAAGCGTGGGGTTGGGGTGTCTACCTGGCCTCAAACCCCCCCCCCCCCCTTGCCGATTTTCTGCCTACGCCACTGCTGCCAATTCGTTTTGTGCATGAATGATAGTAAATTTTATCCGATCGGTTCAATATTTCATCAACTGCATTTAAGTAGAAGAAATAAGGTTTTTGCAAATTTGATTGAAATTGACCTATGTGTCACGTGCTACACCTTTTCAAACTTGAAGGATAAGAAAAAGCATCGGACATCTGGAGCTGAGCTCCATCAAGGGAACAATTCACGAATAGCAACAGCCTCTGCATACTTGTGTCCGAAAACGCGGAAGCCATTTTGAACATATGCTGTGACCAAAGGTATGAATATGCTTCTAATTCGCAGGAACCTTCCGTTATCTATCCACATTCAATGTTTAATAATTTGGGCTGATCAGATGAAGCTTTTATCTTCAGTATAGAAACAAATTGGCAGTTTTCTTTGGAATGTCACGTTAAAAAATTCAAAATTGTTATACATACATATACCAGGTATGAATTTCCTTCGAATTGGCCAAAAATTTAGTTATCAAAATAGGTGACGAAGGGAAAACACCACGCCCTCTGCCTCTTTGGCTCTTTGGTATGACACGCACAGGCTTTCGTTCGCTTCACTGGATGAGGCGAACGCATCAGTGGTCTTGTACGGCAGACTTTTTCACTTATCAAGTTTGAACTAGCTAAGAACGTGATACAAAGTGTCAATTTCCATGAAATTAGGAATGTACCTAAATCCTTTACCTACATGCAGTGTTTAAAAAATTGAGTCGTTCCGATAAAATGTATTGTCATTATTAGCGAAAATGATTTGGCATCGTTTTTTTTTTGAAACACCAATTAGTCATTCTAGACAGCATATAGACGAACATCCTGAGACCGTAACATGAGGCCAGAACAAGAGGGTCATTGTTTCACAACAAAATTAATCAAAATTGCTGAACGAAAAGTAGGCAAAAATGCAGTTTTTCGCAATTTAATTCGGCAGATTTAAATACCTGCTAAGTAAACTTTTCGACACGATTAAAATATTTGAATTCGATCCTTTCCAAAGAGTCAAGAGTCAAGATAGTTAGTGACATCAAGAGGCGATTTCGCCCATTTCGATATCACGTGTCGAGGTCGAGCATTCCTTAATTTTAGGGTAGGCCTAACCCTCTTAAAGCTAAATATTTTTTTTATTTTTTATTTTTACTATCCTAGTTGCTTACTGTCTAGTACCTAAGGTCAACATTGCCCCCCACCTTTTTGCCTGTCCATGAAAGCATCTAGTTTCTTCTTAAAGATAGTCACAGAAGGGGCAGCCACTACTTCGTCATCTAACGCA